TCTTTTGGTTCACGCGTTTATTTCCTCTATACCTTTCATTTCTGTTGTTTCCAGCAGTCTTTGTGTTTTCGCCGTATCTGCTCTTGTCTCCGCTGTGTACGTCATTATCAATCTTATTGTTGATTTATATATCCTGGTTTTCGTTTCCGTTGTGAGATATTTGTTTCTCCATATTGTGTTATTGAGACATCCTGCTGCTCTGTTTGCCATGTTCACTTGTTTTTGTACTTCTTCTTCCGCTTTTCCGTAGCTTGACAGTTTTATTTCCAAGTATTCAGTTTCCATCACTTGTTCTATTATTTTGTTATTTACGACTAGTTTACATCGTCTCGGTTCCGTTGATATCACTATCGCTTCAATTTTCTCGGTTGAGATCACCAATATCTTCGAATTCTTTAATTAATCTTTGTAGGTCATCTTCATTTTCGGCTGTTATTATGGCGTCGTCGGCGTAGCATATTATCCTTTTTTCCTTTTCTCCCATTCTATATCCTCTTCTTTTTTTAACTTTCTTTACTTCCATTCTAAATACATTAAATCGATGCTGATTTAAATAAATGTCATTTTTCGTGTGATCGCTAAATCCAAGATATTTTCAGCTCGTTACTGATGGATTCGTTTAAAAATTTGCACATTTTCCAATGAGATTTATAAAAGATTCGAGTAGCATTTTTGTCAAACCACGTAAATATTACACAACGGGTCAGGAAGATTTTGCCATTCATTAAAAACTTTTCGCCAAAGCGTTTGTACATCCTCATTTAGCTGTATTAGCCGATTATGTAACACAAAAACCGGCAAGAAACAATCCATTAAAAAAATTAGTGAACGTACACAAAGTTTATATATAGACAGACGAGTTAATTGGCCTAAAAACCACTTGAGCACTAGACTCGCTTCGAACAGAGAAAATATTATAAACGAGAATTAGCATCGATCATAACTTTGCTTTCTAAAAATTTAAAACTTCGTTAATAAATCTTATGAAGTCGAGAATTGATCTTTTTTGGTCGTTAAATAAAATGGAGTTTTAAAACAGTTATTATTATAGTTTAGAAACGTACTTATTTCCAAGTATAATTTATATAGTTGAGGAAAAATGTTCTAGAAACACTTGTTCAAGCTACAATTCAAAGGTAGTTTGGAATAAGGGGCTAAGTACTAAAAAACTACATTTTTACGAGATAAAAAAGGTTAGTGTAACCTTCTGGATCATATCATAGTGTTAGATAAAAATGCAGTACGTAATTGAAGCAAGTAGTTCCAAATTAAGACAGGAAATCAAAAGGTAAGCTTGGAACGGAGAAAAAAAATTGAATGAAACATATCAGTGGATATTATCGGTCAACTTTTGATAACAAAGTGAGCAAACAATTACTTAATGATCGCAAATTTCTCAAAATGGCCTTCTTAATCAAGAAACAACTACAGTAACAGAAGTAGTCATGACACACGTCAAGTTGTCTCAGTCACAAAAGGGTCCAGCTCACTTTCCATATCTAAAAGGTTATCTGCTAATGATTGAAGTAGCTTTTCAGAAAGCTCTCGTTTCGACATACTGCAAAAAAACCAATGGGTTACATATGTCCCGCTGAAAAATACCACTGGACATTATTGTCCCACTAGGGTTAATCTTAGGAATATTTCTAGCAAGATATGTACTATTTTATTTTAGAATATGGTGTATCACATATAAAATCAGAAAAATATTCACTTACTGTGTTCAAAAATCTCGATGAAAATAGTAAAAAGTGAACATAAACGTTGAACTTGACGCCGGAGGTCACGCACTGTTGTCAATTCAGTTTTATTTTCTTGACTTTGCACTAAGACATAGACTTTAAACATAATTTGTTTAAAGCATAAATAATAAATAAATCATACAATTACTTTTTTGTTACTACGTTAACAAGTGGCGTTGAGAGCAAACTTAATCATTTATTGAATTATTTGAATATAATATAATTTGTTTAAAGTATAAATAATAAATAAATAATAGAATTACGTCTATTGAAATAAAAACATATGAGTCTCATTGTAGTTAAGACAGCTTTTTTAATAGATGGATGTCAAATACTCATAATAATCAGTTCTTTAAGGCTTTAACATTGGAAAAAATGAAGAGCTCTGAGTATAAGTTTGTCTAATGTCTTTCTTTTGTGGAAGAAATTTGTGGTTTTTGGTCGAATGCAGTCATATCGCTAGCAATATATTTTGAATGCAATAAAATAAACTACAGTGAAAAATCTCACTTTTGACAATTGTAATAAAAACACGTAGAAATTTTCATTTTATCAAACTGGCGTATTTCTGTGGGTAACTATAGAAATGCCACAAAAAGAAAACATTAAACTTGAGGTTGCGTTTGAGGTAATCACATACAAACGTTCAAAACCGCAATTTACACAGAATTATAACGTAAAAGTTGTTTGCTAGGAAAATAATGAAAAAAACCTGACGCAATATACAGGTATCGACAAAAAATATTACATTTAACAGCAATTGCGGTGACTATCAACGGGTGATTTGTATTTGGATTGTGTAATGTTAGTAGAAAGTGATGAAATGGATCATGACCCGATTATTTTTAAACCTTTTGTTGATATTCGGTATATTAGAGTATCGTCACACTAGTCTGTATGAACCCTGATGACAAATTTAGATCTCGTTTGGCTTTATGTTATAAAAGTCGTTAAATTACTCTATTTCCGACTAAGCTGCTTTTCTTCTATGTTCAATGGGTTGTTACACATGAAAAAGTGATACAATTTTGCTGGTAAAGTGTAGAAAATCGTTTTTTAATTGAATTATTAAAATTATTAATAACTTTTCTAAAAATGCACAAAAAACTTTAATTCCTCATGATAATATAGAGAATTTCACAAATCACAAATATCTAACTTCAAATATTTCAAGAAGTTTCGCTTTAACTTCAAATTTATAAAAGTCGCAATATCTCTGGTTCTAATGATCAAAAATTTATGTTTTTTTTAATTTGGGATACCTTGTTGCATACATTATAAATATTTCAATAGTTAATTTGTGAATTGTTTTTTTTAACCTAGTAAACAATTAAAAATAAGTATTTATTTTACAAAATTTTGTTTTACTCTTATTATTATTAGTAAAAAATGTTATGAAATGTTAAACAACTTAAATATGTGAATGTGAAAGTTTATTAGAATCATCCTTAGAGTCACACGAGGAATATGTAAATGACTTACCTACTCCAGTTGTATTATTGTTTTGTAGAGTTTTATTTTTGTATTTCTCGATATAATTGTAGATTTAAGGAGGAGATTAAGCCCAAAATAGCATATCTATTGGCCGTGCAAATTCAGTGGTAGATCAAATTTTCATTTACTTAGTTTTGTTGGTGTTTATTACCAATTTTTGTAGCTGATTCTTTTAATGCTACATAATATGCTTCTCGTACAGCGTTTTCCGTTCTCCCAGCAATATTGATATCATCAGCATAGGCAAGGATTTGCACTTTTTTTCGCATATATTTACCAGTGGTTGTGATTTGTGACATCATCATCATTTTGTGACATCATCATCATCAATCAGCCCTGAGTTGTCCATTGTTGAACATAGGCCTCCTCTAGATTTTTCCATCTGCTTCTGTTCTGCACCTCTGCTATCCAATTGGTCACGATTCTTTTGAGGTCGTCGGTCCATCGCGTTGGGGGTCTTCCTCGGCCTCGCTTGTCAGCCCGTGGTCTCCACTCAAGCAATTTTTTTGTCCAACTGTCGTCTTTCATTCTTGCAACATGTCCTGCCCATCTCCATTTTTGCCTTGTAATATGTTCGATAATGTCTTGCACTCCGGTTCGTCTACGAACTTCCTCGTTTCTTATTCTATTTCTTAAGCTTATTCCAAGCATTGATCTCTCCATCTTTCGTTGTGTCCTTCTCAATTTTTCGGCTGATGTTTTTGTGAAAGTTAAGGTTTCTGCTCTGTATGTGAGGACTGGTAGAACGCACTGGTTAAAAGCTTTTCTTTTTAAATGGATCGGTATATTTGTTCTAAATACGTCTCTCATTTTTCCGAATGCAGCCCAACCCAGACTTATTCTTCTGAGTAGCTCGCATGTTTGGTTATCTCGCGTTAACCTTATTTCGTGACCCAAATACACATATTTTTCCACAAGTTCTATGGGCGACTTTTCGATTTCTATTAGCTCATTGGGGACGAGGTTGGTCATCATTTTTGTTTTTTCATAGTTTATTTTTAAACCGACTTTCTGGGTTACTTGCTGTAGTTGTTGTAGCATAACTCTGGCTTCTCCTAAGTTGTCTGTTATGAGAAAAATATCATCGGCATATCTGAGATGATTGAATATCTTTCCATCGATGCTAATACCCTTTGATTCACACTCTAGCCGTTTAAATGCGTACTCCATAATTGTTATAAACAGTTTTGGCGACAAGGTATCTCCCTGCCGTACCCCTCTGCCAATTTTTATCTTCCCAGTCATGCCATGTTAGCGGTTGTTGTCGAATTTTTGTATATATTTCGAATAATATTTGCATGCCTGTGATCTATTCTGCATTCTGAAGTGCTTTTAAGATAGCAACTATTTGTGACATACGTATTACTTTTTCCAGAACCAGATTGAACAGTATAAAGGAGAGAGGGTATCACTGGCACAGCTCGTTATTTGTTTTAAGAGGTTCAGATTCAGGCAGCTCCCCCTGAATTCGTACTCAAAATTCAACTCTTTCAAGCGTTAGTTTTGTTAAATTGACCAACTGATTTAGTATTTCTAGCTCTTTCATTGCTTTGAACATTTTTCTCTTTGAGTATCAATGTCTTATTCCAAGGTTTTTTCCAAAATTTGTTTCAGGGTTGCAAACATATAAAATTAGCGATTTATATAATTTAATAAGTCTTCTCGCAGTAAAGTTTTGAGTCCGATTGGACAATAATCTTGGACTGGACTAAATATTTTTGTTTTTTTTTTGGTTTGGAAATTTTAAATTCAATTTTTTTTTAGAAACAACTCCAGGAAGGCTTACGACTGTCCCAAACTCTACAGGCTCAAATCGAAGCTCTACAAAGGGCGAAAAAAGCATACGACAAAGCATACAGAGAATCGGAAAAGGCGATAGAAAGTTTTCAGAAAGCAGATGCGGATTTTAATTTGTCTAGGGCCGAAGTCGAGAAACAGAGATCGAACATGTCACATAAAACACAAGCTTGCGATTCCGCGAAAAACGAATACGCACAGCAGTTACAAAGGACGAATGAACTGCAAAGGCAACATTTTAGGTAAGAATTTAATCGATGTGCAGAAAAGATACATAATTCGTGTGTGATAAGTTAAATTTCCATGAAATTTTTTTATTTTAGGTCTGGATTACCAGAAGTTTTTAGGCAACTCCAAGAATTAGATGAGAAAAGGATAAAGAACATAAAGAATTTCTTTCGCGCGTCCGTCGACATCGAAAGAAATGTCTTTCCTATTATTAATAAGTGTTTAGACGGTATCCTTAAGGCTGCCGATATAATTAACGAAAAAGAAGTAAGTATATGTCAATTATAAGTTACAGTAGGTATAGCGAATGACATATGATAGATGGCAAGACACACGTGACGTGACAGACGAAGTGTGCCATTTTTAAAAGAAGCCATAGAACAGTTAAATATTTTGAAATCTTAGACAGAAAACGATACCTGTTCATATAATACGATCTATGATTATTCTTTTCTTAGTCTCTCATAAAAAATCAAAACAGTCGATTTTTCTCTTATTTATTTTTTCTAGGATACAATGTTAGTGATAGAAAAATTCAAATCCGGTTTTCAACCTCCCGAGGATTTTCCCTTCGAAGATTTGTCGAAAGGCGGTAGTGATTCCGGTAGTGCTAATAACATAAACAATATTCCAGCTAGTGGTAAAGTAAAAGAAGGAAGTTATACGGTGAAGGGGACGATAACCAATAAGGCGATGAAGAAACGGACCGGAATCTTCCACATATTCGGCAGTCGAGGGGTGAGTAGGTTTATATAGAGAGTAAAAATCGTTTTTGATGATATAGATTAAAGAGATAGGATGGTTTTTGTAGTTATCAAGTAGTTAGGGTTTAAATGATCTGTAGTATTTAGCAAATACGTATTTTTCAAATTCTAATATAGGAAATGCCTGATAAACACAAGGCAGTAGTTGTGTGTTAGTAAACGAACGCAATTTGTTAACAGAAACGTATAAAATGGCATATACTAGATTACATCACAAAGTAACTAAAAAAAAAGTTTAAAAATTCAAAAACTATCACTCCCGTCTACGATGTATATGCGCTTCTACCAATAGAAAAACGACTCTAGTTTTTCGCATGCGCATTATACACCGATTCTTCCAGTATTTGTTACAGTGGGCGCCGTGGATCTTAACAGTAGTAATAGCCCAGGGAAATAAGCATTTTTTTCATGACACTCGTCCGGCCAGGCAAACGACAGGTGTTTTGAGTAGTACGGACCTCTGTAACAAAAACCTATATGTTTCCTGCAGTCGATTTTTTGGACTTAATTAGTTATTAACAAATTAAGGTCAAAAAACGGAAAATTTTTGCTTTTTTCGTCTATCAGCAAAAAGTGAAGCAATTTAAACAAATTTTAGAAGAGAGGAAACTTATAAGTTATATAAAAACCTTCAAAATGGCGTTTTCTAATTGTTTCTATCTTTATTTTTAGCTTAGAAAATTGCAAAATAAGTCAAAAATTTTGGTTTTTTATAAATGTTAATAACTTTTTTGAAAATAAACTTATAATATTTATATTTCATGGAATGATGTGTCTTGTAGTGCTTAAAATAGGGTTAAAATTTCAAAGTTATCGGTCCAATAGTTTAAAAGTTATTTTATTTGTTTATCCCAAATTAACATTTTTTGCAACAATATAAGTCAGAAATTTATACAGTTTTGGTAATTCAAGGGGTAGTTTCTGGTAGAAGAAGACTTGTTTTATTATTTACATTTAAAAAAATTAAGAAAATTAATTTTAAATATTGCAAAATAATTTTGCATAAACATGTCGATTTTTTGCTTATAAACAATTAGAATAACTTTTTAACCATTAACTGTAAAAATATTATTTTTATATATTTAAAAAGCCTAAATTTTTTCACAAATTTAAATAAAAAAAAGTTTGTCCTAAAATAATTTGGTACAAAGTTAGCCTCTTTTTTTATTTAATTCATAGCACCTTTGTTTATAACACTTTAGAAATCTAATTAGCGCCATTTAAAAGAATATACTTATAGTTTTAAAGTACTAAATTTTAAAAATATTGCCCTTTAATGGAATCGTCCACAAATCTTCAAATATATGTAAAATCGGTCGGCTTTGAAACTTTCGGGAGCTGAAGGGAGGGGGAAGGCGCTGTTAACTGTATCTTTGTTCCTTTTTTATGTATTTCAACGTTTCTTTTTGAACTTGTATGTACTTTTTGCGTACATTACGAATATGCATTATTTCAATAAATAAATTGTCAAATAAACAACCTAATTTTGACCCTATTTTAAGCACTACAAGACACATCATTCCATGAAATATAAATATTATAAGTTTATTTTCAAAAAAGTTATTAACATTTATAAAAAACCGAAATTTTTGACTTATTTTGCAACTTTCCAAGCAACAAATAAGGATAGAAACATTTTGAAAACGCCATTTTGAAGGTTTCTATATAACTTATAAGTTTCCTTTCTTCTAAAATTTGTTTAAATTGCTTCACTTTTTGCTGATAGACGAAAAAAGCAAAAATTTTCCGTTTTTTGACCTTAATTTGTTAATAACTAATTAAGTCCAAAAAATCGACCACAGGAAACATATAGGTTTTTGTTACAGAGGTCCATACTACTCAAAACAACTGTCGTTTGCCTGGCCGGACGAGTGTCAAAAACAGGGTACTTTTTTTGCTTATTTCCCTGGCCTATAATTGTTTAGTTACTAATAACATTTTTGGTAGCAACCGTTTTGTAAAAAGACTTTTTAAATTTAAAATTCTAAAAAAAACAAATTGATTAACAACGTAATAGGATGGTTGTACAACACGAGAGGAGGTAATCGTTGGTTTCAAATTCGGAAATTGTGCTGGATGGTCGGAGAAAATTATGATGCTGTTTGGGAATGATCTTGTTTATGTTTGTGGTAGAGTGAATTTATAGAAGGAAGTCGACGGATGGAGAAGTAAAATCAGAATTAAATGTACTTGGATGTGTATGTGTAACCAGAGGAGAAAAATATGAGCTGCTGAGAATTATTATGCAAGGAAGGATCCAAGGAAGAAGAAGCATAGGAAGAAGACGGATCTCCTGGCTGAGGAACCTTGGAGAATGGTTTAACTGTAGTTCAGTACAACTTTTCAGAGCAGCAGCCAACAAAGTGACCATAGCCGTTATGATATCCAACTTCCGATAGGAGATGGAACTTTAAGAAGAAAAAGAAAAACTATTAATAAAATAATTTCTTTAACACATATCTTTATTTATTTATATTTTAATGAATCAAAATGTAATAACAATTAAATTGAGGTTCTAACAACAGGGAATTAAGCATCTATATACAAAATCTCAAGAAATAAAGAAGAAGCTCTACTCTATGAGAAATCCTCCTGCTGTTCTCTTCTCAACTCGGACCATACAATGTTTGCAAAAACCATGCCGCTAAAGCCGAAACCATGTGGATCCCTCTCCAATCCAAAGCCATGCGGATTTTCAAAATCGAGATGGATTTCTTATTCCAAAAAAAAAATAATTCCATTTTCGTATTCTTCGACCAAAAATCCATGTCAACGTAAATTTTCTTATATCATAATCAAGGTGGATTTTCTTGAATAAAAATCAAGGTGGATTCTCCTGAATAAAAACCAAGGTGGCTAGAAAAACAAAAACCGCTACAAAATTCGTGATGGCACGAGTTTTGTCCAACAACAAAAGAATTCTGGCAAGCGGAAAGCTCTTCTCTCTGAGACCTGTATACCGATCCAGAATTCTCTGATGTTGCCAAAACTCACAAATTAATAATTGTAATTAATAGATAAATTATTAAATGAAAAATGAAAAAGACAAAGTTTGTGCGATAAATACGATTTATATTGAATTATTATTATTACAGCAAAGGTAAAAAGAAAATAAAAATTGTAAGCAGTTTTTAAGTACTAGCGTACACAAAATTATACGAAAAACTAAAAGTGTTCTTGATTAAAGTATGAAAATATGTTGTTGTAAAAAGAGCAAAGTATTAACTTACCCAGACCTTTGGAAGTTTCTGACCACGAGGACTTATTTTTTTAATAATACCTTCTCGTTTGCTGGTTTATTTTAAAAAGAAATTAAATCGGATCGGATTGATAGAAGTAAATTATTTAGGAGTGGGGTTTCTGTTTCTTGTACGATAAAGTAAGCGAAGGCAGGACTACGGGACTTAAGAAATTAATCAGCGGATTTATTTGTAATAGGAAAATATTGAAATAAAATATAGGAATACAAACAAAGGAAAAAGAACTTATTATCAATGAAAATCAAATAGTATGAACAGAAAATAGTGGAAAGTACTTTGAAATTAATAAGAACAAAAATGTAACGTTTTAAACGTTACAAGATAGGAACGTTGGTCTTTGAGATTGTTTGAAAATTGTCTCCAAAACAGAGAAAATTTTGGTCAAATTCAAATTATTTCAGTTTTTTTTTATTTTTAACCCTATTTTAATGATTTTTTTAGGACACTGTGTAAAAATTTATAAAGTTTTATTTAGTATAGTGAGTTTTTTAATAAAATTTTGTATTGGACTTATTATATGGGGATAATCGAAAGGTGGTTTTTTAACCTAAATTTGAGATGTCCTGTGGAATAATTTCGTTTGCGGATTTTCGTAAAACCTTGTTTTTCGGTTGCTACCATGTCTTCTAAGTATTATGTTTTTTTGTTTCATGTGAAAATAGGGATTGGTTCATTGTTAGGAAACGAAATGACTTTGCCACCCACAATTTACGGCTTTTCCTATTATTACCATTATCTTTTGTATTAATTTGTAATACGACGATGGCAGCTTTGGTGACTGATATCGAAGAAATGTCATGTCGACATCCCAGAAGCACTGTATTTAAATAATGATTAAAAGCAACGACATGGTCGTGGTTTTAATGAACACTGATAACAATAACAAAACATAAAAAAACAACTTAAATGTAATTTAACCTAAGTACGCAAATAACAAAGAAAAACTACTAAAAAATAACTTAATATTTTGTATTGCCTCCCCTAGACTCTATAACTGCCTGTACACGTCGGCTCATGCTGTCTATGAGGTTGCGAATATCATCTTGCTGGATGTTTGTCATTCCTCTTCTAGAGACAAATCATCATCATCATCTTTGGCTCGACAATCCTCTGTGGATCTTGGCCTGCTCTAAGATTCGTCGCCATTCTGTTCGGTTTTTGGCAACATGTTGCCATCTTCTGATTTTTAATATTCGTAAGTCGGTTTCCACTCCATCTAACCACCTAATTCGCGGTCGGCCTTTGCTTTTTTTTCCTACAGGTGTTCCTGTGGTTAGCATTTTAGCAATGGTATTTTCTGGCATTCGTATTTATGTGTCCAGCCCATCTAAGTCGCTGTGTTTTAATGAACGTTATGACATCTGGCTCATCAAGAGCTGATACAATTCAAAATTATATCTTCTGCGCCACTGCCCTTGGTCGTTTATAGCTCCAAATATTTTGCGGAGTATTTTACGCTCAAATATTCCCAAAAGTCTTTCATCTTTCTGCGTTAGAGTCCATGTTTCTGCCCTGCTGAAACTGCTGAATGTTTTGTATATAATAATTTTAGTTCTTCTTTGAATGTTTCTTGAGTGGAAATGCTTTTGGAGTCCATAGTATGCCCTATTTGTAAGATTTAGAGCCAAATGAAGTTCGTTAATTGAGGCTGGTGCGACTTCGGGACCTCTAATATTTCTACCAAGTTTACCAACTGATTTGGCATTTATAGCTC